GTTCCCTCCCCTCGCCTCTCATTCCTGGTAACCAACAAAGAAAAATAGTAGCATTTTAAAATGATTGCTTTTTTGGAACACAACCCCTAAATGCAAACAATTGAATTTAGAACCTAGCCCAAAAAGAGCAATTTATTTCAGTGTTACCATTTAAAATTGGCAGCTCTTTGACTGGCTAAGAGATAGTTTGTCTGTAAACAGTGCTTTAAAAGCAATTTAGAGAATTAAAGTACATTCAAGAAATATCTAACAATTTATAGAAAGGTATATCGAATATACAATGAACATTTTAGTGTTGTTTTGTGCCCTTGAATCAATTCCAATTCATAGTGACCCTATATGACAGCGTAGAAATGCTCTGTAGTTTTCCAGGCAGAATCTTTAGGTCAAAAGATCACTAGGTCTTTTCTTCCAAGAAGTGGCTGGTGGCTTCAAACCACAGACCTTTTAGCTAGGAGCTGAGCACTTAACCATTGCATCACTAGAGCTCCTTTCAATGAACACTAAAACCAAAAACCCCTCTGCTACACAGTCAATTCCAGCTTGTAACAACACTATAGGACAGAATAGAACTCCCCAGTAGGTCTTCCAAGGTTGTAAAGTTTATAGGAAGCAGATTACCTCATCCTTCTGTGGAGCAGCTGGTGGGTTGCAACCACCAACCTTTTCATTAGCAGCCAAATGCTTTAACTACTACATAACTGCCAAATACTTACCATTATCATTGAAGTCCTGATATTACATTGTACTATTGCCTAAGGCATCTGACTGCTAATCAGAAGGCTGGAGGTTCAAACCCACCAGCCACTCCTCCAAAGCAAGGTTGGGCAATCTACTTCTGGAGTGATATCACCTCGGAAACCCAAGGAAGGGTCGCCCTGTGTGAGTCCAACTTGATGGCAAATAACAACAACAACATGTGATTTCTATTAATCTTATTTTTTTCTATTGTGTTTTTCAACAACTTTTTTACCCGCATTTGCATTGATTGATTATAAAATTCCAGTTATTCCCTAAACTTAAAAATGTATATTTCATTTTTATCTTTTCGAGAGGTTGAACTATGAAGAAAATTATACATAGCAGAGAAACATTATTGATGGTTGAAAAGGTACATAATTATATTTGCATATTGCTTTTTGCAAAGTTGTATATTGTTTGATGTAATGGAAAAGTGGGTCGATCTATGTTTCTCAGAACCATGTATATTAGAAATCATCTTCTATGACAGTCTTCATATTGAAAATAAATTCATTACTCAAGAATCACTGCTTTCATGCTAATCTTTTACCAAAAATAGAGAAAAACTTACTTGAGAATCAATAAACACTGTAGCCTTTTCATCATAACATGTCATAAAGATTTATTTTATTTTATTGGTCCTTCTCTTGGTCTTCCTAGACTTTTGATAGCCATGACACAAGGAAATGTTACAGAAGTGACTGAATTCATTCTTGTGGGATTTAATGGCCAACACAAGTTTCGATTGGTCCTCTTCATTGTATTTTTAGTGATCTATATGACCTCTATGGTGGGAAATATTGGAATGATTCTACTTATCAAGACAGATTCCAGACTTCAAACACCCATGTACTTTTTCCTACAACATTTGGCTTTTGTTGATATGTGTTATACCTCAGCCATTACTCCCAAGATGCTACAAAACTTCATAGTAGAAAACCAATCAATATCATTCATGGGATGTGTGATGCAATTACTGGTTTATGCCTCATTTGCAACCAGTGACTGTTACCTCCTGGCTGTTATGGCAGTGGACCGGTATGTAGCCATCTGTAACCCACTTCACTATCCCATAGTCATGTCCCAAACAATCTGCATCCAATTGGTACTTGGTTCATATGTCATGGGATCAATAAATGGCTCCGTACACACAAGATTTACATTTTCACTGTCTTTCTGCAAGTCCAACATCATCAATCACTTTTTCTGTGATGTCCCCCCAATTCTCTCCCTCTCTTGCTCCAGAATCAACATCAACATCAAGCTACTCTTTGTCTTTGTGGGATTTAACCTGACATTCACTGTGATGGTCATCATCTTCTCCTACATATACATCCTGAGTGCCATCCTGAAGATGTCTTCCACTGCAGGGAGAAAAAAGGCCTTCTCCACATGTGCCTCCCACCTCACAGCAGTCACCATTTTCTATGGAACCCTCTCTTACATGTACTTACGGCCTCACTCTAATACTTCCGAGGAAAATATGAAAGTGGCTTCCACGTTCTATGGTATTGTCATCCCCATGTTGAACCCCCTGATCTACAGCTTGAGAAATAAGGAGGTAAAACAAGCTCTAAAAGGGTTGGGAAAGAAGTACCACACTGGCCTCAATTTATTAAAATTCAGCACAACAATGCATCAAGCATAAATATTTTATAAAAATTTAATGCTTCTGAGGTTAAAACCTGTTACCATCTTAAATTAGTGCTACTTATTTCAATACATAAGATCTCAGAATGTGAGATATATAATAAGAACATGTCTGGCAATAATTTTTCCTGTGATAATGTTTGAAAAACATGTCTCACACTGCCCGTGAAGAAGGACATTATCAAGATTATTTGTAATATTAAGAAACATGTATAAATTTTCCAAAATATTTAATTGTTCAAATGTATTTCAAATACATTCTTACCGAATAAAACACTCTGTGTATAATCCATAGTAAAATTAAATTTCATAATTTTCTGTTTATTTACACAAGTTTTCTGAATTATGCACAATGAAGCTCTCCTTTAAGTTTATTCTAATTACTGCACAGAACTCATAAAATAAATGTATTGCTGAAAAAAGTATCTTATGATTCAGGCTGTCCTTTTTACCTAATATGCCAATATTTTTGACATTTCCTAACATTTGAAAACATTTATTCCTGTGATTAGTTCTCCTCTAATATGAATCTATGTCTTCCTTGCCAAAGAAAAGGGAATTCTTATAAACATTTTCTACTTCTCTGTCCAATAGAGATAGAGAATCTAGAATGAAGATGGGTCTTAAACCCAACAGATGGTCATTCAATTATAAAAAGGCATACCAATAGCTTTAGTTCAGACAAATAAGTTTAAACCACAGAAGCTGCACAGGAACCCCAAGGCAGGCCAAGAGTCCTTTGTATCAGAAACAAAAAGTGTTGACAGAAAAGGACTTGTACACAAATGACTTCTAGAGATGCCATGCTAGATGGATGAAAGGACAAAGCTTACATTCAGTTAATGGCAGCTGTTCTTATGAAATGTACAGAAAATGTACTGTTAAGTAAAAGCACAAGAAGAATTAGGCCAAGAAAAAGAGTTCTGTGTTTCAAATTCAATATCCCTCATAAATTCTAAGAGAAGAGAAAATAATAATAAAATCTTGAAGTCAATGTAGAGTGACCTGAATCTCTCCAGAAAAGGCAGTCTTTATAAAGGAAAGAATCTTTACCCCAAGGCAGGTCCAAGTATCTTCAAGAACCAGGACCAAGGATCACTGCTAGAGAGTGACTAGCAAAGTAGACAGGATGATCTGAGGATCTGGATAGGAAACTTTGAGATCCAGTTAAGCAACAGAATTTTATATATTGGGAACTCTCAAGGACCAACATGGAGATAAGAAGGAAAATGGAGAATCACGTAGTATTCTGCACTCAATATTTCTGTTGTTGTCGGCTGCCCTGGAGTCAGCCCCCACTCCTGGCAACCTGATGTATAACAGACGTTGCCTGTGCTCCTCCGGGTCCTCTGTGTTCTTGAGGTCATTGATGTGGCTATTCTGTCAATCAGCTTAATTGAAGATTCCTCTCATCTTCACAGACACTCTATCTACCAAGTATGATGTATTTTTCTAGGGATCGGTCTTTCCTGATGCCTTGTACCAAGCCAAAATCTTCCATCCTTGTTCCTAAGGAGTACTGTGGTTGTATTTTTTCTAAAACTGATTCATTTATTTTTCTGGTAGACCCCAGTATGCTCAATATTGTTCAATGACATCATGGTATGAATGCATCAATTCTTCTCTCTTCATTTGTTTTATTATTATTATTATTGTCTAGCTTTCATGTGCATATAAGGAAATTACAAAAACCATGGGTCGGAGCAGCCCACCTTAGAAACCAAAGTGACATTTTTGCTTTTTAAACTTTAAGAGGGTCTTTTGCAGTAGATTCTCCCAATGCAGTATGTTGTTTCTTTATTACTACTTCCATAGACATTGGCTATTGATGCAAATAGAATGCAATGGTTGACAACGTCACTATTTTCTATATTTACCATGATATTGTTTATCAGTCCAGTTGTGAGGATTTCCATTTTCTTCATGTTCAGGTGTAATCCATACTTAAAGCTGTACTTTTTGACCTTTATCAGTAAGTGCTTCAAGTCATTTTCATTTCTGACAAGCAAAGTTCTGGTCTCTGCATGTTGTAGGAGTAAAAGAAATACCAAAAGGAAATGAGCTATATGACAAGTACACAAAACAACCAAATATCTGGGTCTTAACATGAAGAAGTCAGCCCCAGGGTTACAGGTGAGGAGAGACAACTCAGGGACGCCC